TATCAGTCATCTTCATATTCTCTGCTAAACTAGTCACTATTGAGAATTCTCTCAAAGAGCAATAGCTTCGAAGAAGATACATCAATCCACTTTCATTTTGTACTTCATCAATTTCCTTCTTATTTCTTTGATTGTGTCCAATGCCAGCCAAGCATGTTTTGACATCTTTTAGCCTCTGCCTTCGTTTGAAAACTTGATTAACAAAACGTGTCAGTATATTTAAAAACTCAATCAACATTTGCTGAAACTGCTTCTCTAAAGGTTTAGCAACTAATTCAAATAAAACATAAAAACTTTGAAAATAATAATAATGTAGTATACTCACGAGAAATACTGTGCCCAGAAGTAGGAACAGGGCATACTTGCTGCTCTTCACTAGACACACCTAGTAATTAAAATCAAAAAATTAAATCTATGATAAAGATGATAACGATAGAATTTACCTCTTCTACCTCTGATTGTATCTGCCAAGGCTCGTTCTCCAAGTTCCTCTAATATCTCAGCTAATCTCCTCCATGATGGCTCTCCTTTATCATCAACATTATCCTGTCTCTTCAGCCAGCAAGACAAACATTTCTTAAGACACTGATGAGTATCCCCCCTGTTATCAGTTTTTATCTTCTCAAGAGTGTTCTGTGAGAGGCCAGCTTTCAATCCAAAATCTTCCCATTTGACTTCGGAAAATTGTCCCTGGTCTAGCTCAGTCAATATACTATCCAAGTCATTGATATCTTAAAAGGAAATTGAAACAAAAGAAGTACAACAGAAGGAACATACCAAGAATAGAGACATCTCCACCAACAGCCATCACTGCGCAGCCCCACCCCTCAGGAATTTAAGGGTGAGGCTTATTAAAAATAACAATAAGAATTAATGAATTATTTTAATGATTTATGTATAAAATTTAGTAATTCTTTTAGTTTCATGTCCAGTTGTTCTTCTATTCCATTATTAATCACATGATAGTCACATGACACCTCATCTAACGCACACTCCGAGGGACCATCATCGACTCCACCCACCCAGTCCCACCCACGGGACCTCCTCACCTCATCACTAGCTGATACTCATACCAACACACACGAGGGGTGGGCGGGGAAAGGGGCGTGGCCAGTTGAGTAATGAGATTTGAAATACTCTACGTCACTTGGTCTCCGACAATCTGAAACCAACCAAACCGGTTTGTCCTGTTCCTCTGTTGCTAAGCGACAGAAATACCCCGGATCACTCTCCCTGTTCCTCTCTCCCCATTGAATCAT